TCGGACAAACACTAAAGCAACTGCGTCTCCTTCACTGGGCCCCTTCAATGTATGTCTACCTGTGGAATAACATGTACATTATTTGTATCTGTTAAATTTGTGAGATTTATATATTAGATTAATATTATTATTTACTCATGGGCGGGGAGAGATAACGTCTTACCCTAAACAAATATCTCGTCTCACATGTCACTGATGAAACATATGCCCGAAACACATGTTACGCTAGACACCGTTTATTTAAAGGAGCTAAATCGCTAATATTTGGGACCTAGAAATTGACACAAATGGGTCGCAACGCATATAATAATGTAATATGAATGTATATAAATGTTACGCTAGACACCGTTTATTTAAAGGAGCTAAATCGCTAATATTTGGGACCTAGAAATTGACACAAATGGGTCGCAACGCATATAATAATGTAATATGAATGTATATAAATTGATTTACGTTCAATCGTTTCCGATTTTACTCTCATTTCAAGTCAGTTATGTTCGGCGAAATAATCCAGAGGTCTCAATCGAATGGCAGTCACTAGCATCTGGTTATTCCAGTCTACACCGATAGTATTTTTTGCGCATGCTCTTCAGATAAGAATATGGCGTCACCGTTTGACATGACTCGTGGAATATGTCTAGCCTCGTTTTTTGAGTCCCTTGTTACAAATGGCACCGAAACGCATTATTTATTTAAATTACACTGATTTTAAGTTACACTGATTTTAAATGTTTTATCTAGTCAATTGAAAGAAATTTCTATTTTCGAAAAATTGATGATACAATTAATGATTGATGACCCAATCCCGAATGGCTCCAGACCAAAAAATAATGGAATTTCAGGCATTTATTTTGCCGGCTAGAAGACAAAAAGGTTTTATCTTCAAAATTACTATATAATATAAATTTTAATTTTTCACTTTACCCGTCTGCACAAAAAAATATGATTTTTAAAAGCGTATGCAAGTTAAATATATTTAATAGCGCTTTTATCTGGTGTATCTTTCATTTCATTTTCTTAGACTATATTATTATAACAATAATGTGCGCATTTTGTTGTATAATAATAATAATAATAGTTTGTTCAGCTATACTTTTCGTTTAAAATATGTATATTTTATCTCTTTTTCGCGGAATTCTATGAGATATCCATCCACATCTGTGTCATTGGCAGCCAACTTCGACACAACAGTATGATAGGACATAAAATAGAAAGTGAGTAGGTACAAATACTTGGGACCCAAGGTGGCGTCTTTGTACACTTGACGTCATATTTTCATGACGTCATATGAAATTTCTGGCTTCACAGTTGTCGCCACTTTATCAACATACGGCGTTGCGTTGAATAAGTGTATGACGTTGATTTTAAGAAAGAGTTCTAAAAATCTGCTTTTAAATTTAACAATTTCGTTAGAACTCGATCGTTTTTTTTCTTCTATTTCTCAATTAAGAGAACTTTCACAGAACAAAAAAAAAATAGTATATAATTGGAAATAACCGGGCTACAAATATATTTGATATATGTGTGATCTTGTCTGTCTCGTCCGTATATAAGGTCCCGAAATTGGTCAAAAGAAAAAATAATTACAGTAGCCCCTTAGTTAAACATCCGACCCAAAACAGTTCGTAAAAAGTTCTAATGTCGCTTGTACGCAAATATATAACGCACTAAACTCACTAGAAAACAAAATATGTATAAAATCCAACTCATATAATAATAATTTGTATCTATATTTGATATGATTCTAGGGTGCCATCCACAATCTCCCACCCTACAATGGATGTCAACAAAATAATTCCCATAACACTGAGTAGAATATAGATCCTATTGCCTATATATTATTGTTCGCCGATCATTATCTAACGATTCAAGTTGACGTAAAGTTCAAATCATATTACGTTTATTGATTTTGTTAATATCCTTTAGTGAAAATTTTGGGCGCTTACTTGGACTCTGCCCTAAACCCCATCCTTAAATCCCCCCCCCCCCTCGAGAACCATACATGGTATCAAATGTATTCTTTTAAACACAAAAAATACAGCACTAATATAATTGTAAGTTACCGGGGTTGAAATGCTCCCAAACAAGCCACCGGATGTTGACAGAGTTAAAGGCTTAGTTAAAGCGGAAATTGTAGTTTAAAATTTTAATTATGGATTTTATCAAAAATGGACATGGTTTGTTTGTAAATTTAGAATTAAACCAGTCTCTGTAAATATAGGCCTACATATAATATGTAAAAGGCGTCGACTGAGCAGAACAAAGTTGGTGTGGTTTTTGTTAAATATAAATATAAAACTTTCATAATTCAGTTTCTCAACTGATACAAGTAATGTTAAATAATCTCGTTTTTCCGAATTGATTTTAATTTAGATCTAAATTGTTTGATTAATTTTGTTTAAAAAAAAGAATTAAAAAGTAGGAGAATTATATTCATTGACGTCAAAATGTATGACGTCTTGGGCGAGATTTGGTAAGTTGACATGCGCATTGCCGGTTTTCCCTGTGTATCCGGTTCCAGTCTGATTTGTTTTTATCAACAGTCTGCGAGTGACAATTTTAATTACGCTCCTATGACCTCCAGGGACAGAACCACGCCCAATTATTGTATAAGAACTTTAACACACCATCCACACAAGTTTTCATCTATAGCATTTTGAAGTATCTACACAGAAGTACATGTGTAACGGCACCATGGTAAATATTGTGGTTGTTTTTGGATAATTAAGAGTGACAGGTTAGTTACTGAAGGGATATTTCGAGGCCCGAATTGTCAATCATTGTTCATTTATTTAAACATTAAAGAGTTATTTTATTTACTTACAGGACCAGAAAAGAAAAAAAGAAACAGAGAGGATATAATTCAACGTGTTCTGAATGAGACAACAACCAGCTTTATAAATTATCAAAGAGAACAAGAAAGATCATATTTTGAATTCGAAGAAAAAAGAATGAGAATGGAGGCAGATTCAGAGAGACTTAGAGAAGAGCAGAGACGGGAGGATCGACTTAGAGCTGAGGAACAACGACGCGAGGATAGGGAAAGAGATAGGCAACATGAATTAAGATTATGGAGTTTGTTTGCCAATCAGGGATTTCAGCAGCATCAATTTTCTCAACAACAAAATGGACATGTTCCGCAGCCACAATTTTTACAAGGAGCTAATGGACACACATATACAAATTTATAAAACCATATTATTTTCAAGACCTATCATTTTGTGCCAAAAGTTCTGCTATGTAGAGCATTTATTTTCATTGATAACAGTTAATTTTTGTTTGTAGAAATACATAGTTTTATTTATCATTCCATTGTGCCCAGGCTAGAGTTTTAATAAATTAATTTCCATGTTTTAATTATTAATATCCATATCATTTAACTTAATGTATCATGAAGCTGAATCATATTATTTTCAAGATATACCATTTTGTGCCAAAATATCTGACATGTAGCGCAATTATTGTCATTGATAACAGTTTATTTTTGTTTCTACAAATACATGAATTTTATTTGTCATTCCATTTTACCATGGCTCAAGTTTTAATAAATTTATTTCCATGTTTTAATTATTAATATCCATATCATTATCAAATGTGTCATGAAGCTGATATATGTACTTGGTTGTGAAAGTTAACTGTAGTTGTAACACGTTTTATGTGATTTCAGTTTTTATGAATTTAAATTACCAGTATGAGATTAATTGTTTCAATGGCATTTAGCAATTGAACTGGGAATACACAGGACAATCCTTGTTTATATCTAAAGCAAAGTTTTGACTTGGCTTCTTATCGTTATCAAATAATGCGAAACGGTATGAGGTGGGTGTTTTCTTCTTTGTAAGTCAATTGATAAGCCCCTAATAAGAACAAAACAGTTTGTTATGTTTTCAAAAATGGTAAATTCTCTTTTATTTAATACATTAATTGAAAGACATAAATTAAAAATTGATCAATAACTTTATAGTGTAGGCTTGTACAGTGGACTCGGAATATTCCGAATTATTAGACCAATCTGGGGACCCCGTTAAACGATTTCTGTTGAATTAACATTGGATAATCTGGCCTTCAATCAGTGGGTGTTAACCCACAAGCAATCAATTATCGGTGAGCTTAAAGTATGTGTCAGTCTTTGTTAATAAAACCTTGATAATTTTATAATTTCTTGTAAGAGAGTGCTTGGTATTTCATTTGATTTTTTCACGTCAAATACAGCAACATTAAATATAAATTGCTGAGATGAAGAATCACTATCATTATAATATTTTGTTCATAACGACGCACAAGTGTTTTGTACGCACCCAAAGTAAAAACATAATAATTTTATATAATAAAGTTTCAAATGTACAAAAAGGTTTATCATATTTTTAAGTTCTGGGTATTCGAAGGTGCATTAAAATAATACTTTGGTATTCGAGGTACAATAATACTTGCGGTTTTGAGACAATTAAGTATTCCGTCATGGTGTATAATCTGGCATTGTATCGGTCCTGTACAATGTTGAAAGTGAAAGAGTCCACTGTATATTTTTAATTACATACACTTCTTCAATGATGGACAACAAAGATGACAATTGGACCTCTTATTATATAATCCAACTCTGGCTTAATGAGATGCATGGATCAAAAATCAAGATGCCAAAAGGTGTCAATTTAAATTCTGTATCCAAATACCTTTAAATTAGTATGTGACTTAGAAATATGCTTGGAATATTTAAATTTGAATGTACCATAATATTACTTTTAAGAAAGAAGATATTGAAAATTTTGGAAACAAATTGAACTCCATAGCAACCATTTGGCCAGAGCTGATCACATATATAGTTATAATAGACCCACTGTGTTATAAGATTATCAGTTATTTTTCTGTTGTATGATTTTTATTATGAAAATAAACCAATTTAGTTTGACCATTTTTTAGTTTTCTGCAAACACACAAAATGAAACAATAAAAGTAAACAAAAGATGGCATATACACATAGAAATTCTTTGTAGTGAGTGTATGTAACAGTATGGCCAATTATTACTTTCTTAATTATTTGTTTTGTAAGGTTAAATTATTCCTGGAAGTATTCAGCCAGGATATTTCTAATGTTAGTGCAGTCTGCATTGATTGCCTCTTCGTTACTTTGATTTGGCTGAGGCATTTAGTTTTCTCCCTTTGCTACATCCTCTAGCCATTCAACCCTAAATGGGTCTTTTGCTTGTTCGCATATGTTATGAAGTATGCAACAGGTCATAATAATATTGAGGACCTTGTCAACATTCATATCCAATCGCTTTAATAAGCAGCGCCAGCGACCTTTTAGGCGACCAAAGGAATTTTCTACCGTCATGCGTGAACTACTTAGCTTATAATTAAATGTCTTTTGTTTTGGGGTCAGGTGTCTATTGTCTGTGTATGGCTTCATTAGAAAGTTGGATAATGGATAAGCCGGATCACCTAACAAGACGATAGGCAGGCGCACATTATTGACATCAATCATCTTGCCGGCAAATAATGTCCCAGACAGCCCTTTTGCATATATTTTGGAGTTTGCATAGACTCGTGCATCATGAACACTTCCTGGCCACCCGATATTTAGGTCTGTGAATTCATAACGATCATTCACAACTGCTTGAACAATGATGGAATACCACCCTTTTCTGTTATGGAAGTCAGCATGGTTCATGCTCGGTCCTAATATAGGAATATGACTGCCATCTATTGCTCCACCTGCATTTGGAAATCCCCATTTCGACCGATACCCATTTACAACTCTATTCAGTTCTTCACCTGATGGAAATTTAATGAATTTGTCCTTGATCGAAATCAGGGACTCACAAAATATGTGTATAATTGAAGACACGGTTGACCGGCCAACCCCAAATAATGCAGCCACAGTTCTGTACTCAGCATTGGTCCCTAAAACCCATAAACTTATGCCAACCTAAAAAAAAAGGGTTACCATACTTTAAATGGGAGGGGTAGAAGATTGTTCTCAATATTTCCAATCATTTTAGTTCAGTGATAAAATCTATTATTCAGTCTAGTATTAAATTGACAAAACTAGATTTGTTTTTTACTAAGGCCATCTACATGTACAAACAAATATCTACTTCCAATCCAAATCAGTAGGCGGCCAACATAGAAAATAATAGTATGTGTTGCATGTTCTTATATTCTCCAAGCAGAAGTGAATATCTCAACCAATACAGCGATCATAAAATGCAAAATAGCCTACCTGTCGCTCAACAGATATTGGTTCCCTCATACTTGTTACTTGTTTCTCAAGAAATGGTCTCAAAATTCTGCACAGATATTCAAATGTACATTTTGACATTCTGAAGTTTTCCAAATACTGTATATCATCATAAAAGCTGAAAATAAAATGTAAAGGAATTAGATTAGGTAAATAATTAAACTTAAAGTAGTCAATATCATCCAAAATCTGCGACATTGAAAACACAAAGTATTTGTCAATTTCAATCAACATTGATCTTGTGATCTTAACGGGGAAAAGATGGGTTTCTGATATCCAATATTTGAGACAAAACAAACATTTAACCATTGGTACACGAATTGTGTAATGCATTTCAGTGTCATTTGTAACAAGGGACTAGAAGAACGAGGCTAGACATATTCCCACAAGTCATATTCTTATCTGGAGAGCATGCACAATAAATACTATCAGTGTAGACTGGAATAACCAGTTGCTAGACATTGCCATTCGATTTAGACATCTAGAGTATTTCGCCGAATATAACTAATTAGAAATTATGTGTTGCGACCCATTTGTGTCAATTTCTAGATCCCAAATATTAACAATTTAGCTCTTTTAAGCATGCAACTATTATTATTCGAAATTAAAAATTGTCTATATGGCACATATAATAGCACAGGCCTATTTGTGTGAAGATTGTTTTGTTTTTTTAGGTTGTTTTTTTTTTTTGGGAGGGGGGGGACGTTATATTTTCTATAAATATTTAATTGATGACCCCTTGGTTAATATTTGTTTTATACACCTTGTCCGTGTACATATTTGACTACATTATAATGATTATAAATTTTAAAACAATATATATGAATATATCAAACCAAACCTGTATGCGTGATTCCACCAATTGTCACTGTGATACCGTGACTATATTCTCCTGTTGGTTGGCATGAATATCACAGAAGTGACAATCATTAGCATCAGAAAGAAGTACCTTTGTTGACTCTGTCGTTGTCTAAACTGTTTAATTCTATGTCTCAAAGCATTAGTATTCATTTCTAGGAAATGTGTATAAACTATCCGAGAGTAAGAGAAACAAATTTCGCGGATTTTTTTTTCACAGGATGTTTACATATTCTACCAGGAAATGGTATGTACGCATGCATAGTTAACTCTAACCTCCGACCGAAGAGGTCAGAATAGTTAAACAGGTTTGACTTATAGTACGTGTGAACGCAACACGACGCTGTCTTAAAAACCCCGGCGATTTTGAACTGGTTTAAAAATAAGCGTCTGAACGGGGTATTAGTCACGTACATGCGTGAACCGAATCCACGCCAATTGACTCTATGATAGACGTTACTCACTGAGCCACCACGACTCCCTTGATATTATAATACTTGATATAATATCAAGGTTAATTTACGTCCGCTTCCATTGAGATGATACGGTAATCGAGTAGTTTCCTAGTAAGATTGGGCGTCTAAACTTTTCATATATCATGTCATACTTTTTACTGGAAATAACCACCTGATAAATACATTTGTGACAATGTATCTTTAATATCCTTGTGGTTGAAGCGGATATTTAGTTGAGAGATTAATTCTCCAAATATTGCTTGGGGTTGCGTGACCGAATGGTTAACGCGAGCGCGTTAGATCATAAGGTCTGTCATTGAGTCAAATGGCATGGTTTCGATTCCCCACTTGTACGTGACAAGACGTAGTGTCCAACCTCATAAGTTTTCACCGGGTTTTGCGGTTACCTCCCACTTCTAAAGATCCTTAAGCGAATCCTTTACATAAAACAAACCATGTTAGTCCCGAAATCTCCCTTTCTGTAAACCGAAATGTTTTCGGGTATTTCAGATTCTGCCCTTCTAACATTCATCGACCCCCCACGCCTCTCACTGACAGGGATCCCGGACAAGTGGGATGTGACCCTGGGCGTTCTAGTTGAGTTTTTTTTTAACACCGTCGACATATGATATTTCTCTAATCCATCAATTAATTAGCCTGCACGTGTACAGGTCTTTAGCACGACGGTGGCCAGTAATAAGCCGGGATCGAACCCACACCAATTGATTCAATTAAAGCGGACGTTAACCTAATCGTCCCCCTATTGACTCATCCTGGGTTGGCAGTGGTGTAGGCCTTCAGACTTGGCAAGAAAAAAGGTGTAGTCATTCGGATGGTACAGAAAACTGAGGTCCCGTGCAGAACCCTTGACATAAAAGTAGGCCGTAGCGTCGTTGACTGGTTAAATTTCCCCTCATAGCGCCTTGTGTGTGGCGTATGTCCGTCTTTGTTAACCCAATCGGGGCAGAAGAGAAGGGCGGGTATTATAGACTTGATGATACTTGATATATTTGATACTTTAAAAAATGGGAGCCGCCGTGGCCGTGGCTCAGTTATTCGTTGACTAGGGGCAAGTGGTCCAATCCCGTTGTTGATTTCGAAAGTTCTCTGTGATTTTCCGGTGAACACTTTGACGTACATTTGACAGTTGGAATTCGATATAAGAGGAGGGCGTAGCGGCGTATGTCCGTCTTCATTATCCCAGTTGGACCAAACTCGTAACAGGTTAAATCTCATTTTACTCCCTTTTATTTCATGTATGCAAACTGGTACATAGAAGAGGTTGATTTATGACATCATGAATCACATCGATATTAACTGAACAAAAACAAGCATATTTGCATTTCATTAAAACAGCGATTGATTATGTTTACTTTTATATTTACTTTTATATTTACGGTCACTTTTATCATGGTCTTCAAGTCAATGAAACACGCCACACCGCCTGGTTAGGTTAGGGCGCCGCGGTGGAAATGTTTCAGAGACAATAAAACAGAGGTCGGATTCAATTTAAAGATAAATTTATTTTCCTCAACAACCCAGTATTTTAACTAAACAGGCCCGGGATTTCCCCACCAACCCAATATTTTAACTAAACAAGCCCGGGGTTCCCCGCCAACCCAGTATATTTATTAAATAATCACGGGGTATCCCCCACCATCCAGCACTTTAACTAAACAATCCGGTGTTTCCCCCACAAACCCAGCAATAAAAGCACTATCAATAATCGGTATTTGGAACTTGTGGTATATTCTACTGATATCTTTCCGCTACTCTTGGCCTTAAATCTCTCCACCAACTCAGCATCTTGATTAAATAAGAACGGGTTTTCCCCACCAATCTAGTATTTGAATATAATAAGCAATCAACCCAGAAAGAGCTAAATCTCTATTCTGTGGCACCCAGTAATGGACACAAATAGGTCGCAACACATAATAATGTATTATGAATATATATAACCTGATTTACATTCAATCGTTTCTATCATACTGTAATTTATAATCAGTTATGTTTGGCGAAATACGCGAAGGGTCTGAATTTAAAAGGTAATATTCTTCTACGTGGGATATATTTAGTCTCCTTCATCGAGTCCCTTAATGCAAATGGTACCCGAAGCATTCTACACGCGATTCAAGTGCCAATGTTAATATTTTCATTTTGACTGAAACATCAATCGTTTCTGTTTGCATTGTCGAAGACTGGATGATATTGAGTTAGTTAGCGACTTGACTCCTTCAATAAGCACGGGGGTTTCGTCATCAATAATTTCATCTAGATAAGCACTGTCAATGATCAGTATTCAGGACTTGTTGCCCTACACCTCGCCTTATATCTGTACGTGGTTAATTTGTTGTGAAGAGCTTGATTAATGGCCACGTTCTTGTCCTTTGACATTGCTACACAGTAATCTGAAATTATTAACATACATTATAAAATGGCCATTGTTTCAGTCTAGTTGGCTAATATGTATTAGGTATGGGCTGGGTAACCCCACACTGTAAAAAATATCCATTTTTAATGTGAGCGAATTCAGTAGTTTAGCACCTTTTTTTGTCAATTGATGACATTGTGTTAATAGTATGAATTATTTCTTCAAATTACGTGTTTTATCTATTTCAGTGGAATATTCAATATTAAACAGGAAATTTCCGTGACATTTAGGGAACAATGTTTTATTCCCTTCTATAATGGACTTAATTCTGTTATTTTACGGAATAAATGGTGGAATGACCAGGAGGTTTCGTGAATATTAGGGATATAATGTTTTATTCCCTTCTGTAATTCTGTTATCGGTACTGATAAGTAATCGTATACATATATAATCATTCCTAATAATTATCATGTTAAAGTACTCATTTCAATATATTAACCATAATATGAAGAATCATATTTTGTACCGTTTGGTATATTAATTGACATGTATATCTAATTTCCATTATTTATAAGATCTATAAAGTTTATTGTTATTCATCATACGGTAATCAGATTGTAAGTATTTTCATAAATGTGTAAAAATATGTTTTAACGCTGCGTGTGTGAAAAGGTAGTATCTGGTAATCAAGCACGCTTGAATCTGGATAGTATAACCGGTTGGCCAGTGTAAGTCGGTTTGTCTCTATGACAGCGTCTACATACCTGCAAATTGATAATACCGCAAACTCACATCTGAAAGCCTCCAACCACCGTCGAGTAGCGGTTTGTGATACCTTGCTCTCGATTCTTATATTAGCGAACAGAGGTTACGTTTAAAGATTTCCTTCGATATCACTTCGGTGGAAGCGGACAGTAAATAAAGTCATTAATGCACACGTATAAAGTCAATGGTTCGTTCAATGAAATTTTTATCACCTTCATGCTCAGGAAACAAAATTTACCAAATGGAATTTATGTTAATTGAAGGAATTTCTGTAAATTAAAGGATAAATAAATACGGATAAAATTTTCATGGTAATTTTTGTTTCCGTAATTTTTTTACGTTTTTACATGGATATGTTTGTTACAGTGCAGGGTCTAAACCAACTGTCAAGCGCCTTTTTTAGCACGGATAAATCCCGATTTTCTGTTAACCATTTGAGCTAGAGGCGTGTCCTTGTCAAACATCCCTGCTAGCACCATTAACAAGAGCTAGATTATGACCTTGTCAGACATCCCGGCTAGCACCATTAACAAGAGCTAGATTATGACCTTGTCAGACACCCCGCCCATAGCACCATTGACAAGAGCTAGATCTTGTCCTTGTCAGACACACCGCCCAGCACCATTGACAAGAAGAAACCGGAATGGAAAATTTCGAAAAATATTCTCGGCCTACACCGATATCGAACGTGGTGTTAATATGCTGGCACCATAGTAACCATGCCACACTGTGAAAACAAAATTTTACCTCTTATGGCTTGAACTACGGTTGCATCCAATGACGCCAGACCAGGTTTAGGATCTTTTGATACTGAACCGAAACATAGCTTTTCTTTTGTAAACATGACGCTCAGAAGGTGACGAGTCACGGATTGTCCACTCTTTGTTTTCTCGAATAATTTCTTGACGTGGACGAGATCTGATGGATATATGAACACACCATACCCATGACTGAGTTCAATCATCTGAAACAAAATAATATAGCTATGTATACAAATAGATGTGTGGGCGGTGGGCGGGGAGAGAGAGAGAGAGAGGGGGGGGGGTGTCAAACCTAGGTCATTTCGTGACTAACATATGATTCAGTACTACTTCAATAATTCGCTCGCGATCCTACCCCTTGTCACGTACAGGCGGGGATTCAAAACCACTCGACAACCAAATCAAAGTATGACGTCACATCTTTATAAGTGAATGGGTTCGGGGTTCTAACCCAACCGTAACCTCCAACTGTGTTGTACAGTCCTGGGATTGTTATGATACAGACTTCACTCCAAATGAAACAACAAAACTAACAATGAATCTGAAATAGGCCAGGGGGGGAGGGGACTTTACTCAAACTGAAACAACAAAATAACAATGAAATGAATGAATTATAAATAGACTGCGGGTGTTGCTCGTAGGGGTCTTTAGCAGTGGGAGGAAACCGCAGGACCCGGAAAAAACCCACGAGGTTGGACAGGCGACCATACTCCTTGTATTTGAAACCACGCCAGTTGACTCAATGACAGGTCTTATGATACAACGCGCACATGCTAACCATTCAGTCATCCAACCCCCACCCTTGAATTATAAATAGGCCTGCTTACTTTATATTTCTCTGATGTTCTTTTATTAAATCTACCGGCTCAGGGCAATACAGTGTCTGTAAAAAATATAATAACGACTCGTTCATCAGAATTTACATGTTTTAACGATATTTTCATATTTTCTGAATAATGGTTTATATTTCCTACACAATAATACTTAGAAATTGTATTATATTTCGCTTGAAAATAAAAGCTACATAATGGAAGTGGGGAGGTCTACTTGGTCGAGGCATATTACTTTCCTTGTTTTGAGGTGCCTCTACCTGTCCCAGCAAACATTCAAAATTTAAACATTTTAGTTTTGAAAACTGACTTAGAGGATTATAGGATTGTAAGGACTGTCTCCAAATGAAACGTGGTTTAACGTCCTACTGTTCTGCTACGATTGGTCTTATGAAGACGGGCATACGCCATACAGTGTAGTATGAGGGGATTTTTGCCTGACAGTCGCTCTACAGCCTACTCTTGTATCGAATTCCAACTGTCAAGGGATCTTTTATGTACACACCAATGTGTACACGGGACCGCTGCGTTTCGTCAAAATCCGACCGGCCATACGTTGTTCTGTTGTCCTGCACTACTGACAAGGAGGAACCACGCCGGAAAGACGCGATGAACTTTCTCGGCCAACACAGGGATCGAACATGGGACCCCAGATTAGCGAGCCAACGTCTTACTAAGGCACCATTGCTCCCTAAATGGTCAACAAGATTTACATCAGTGGAGCAAACCATCAGTATTGCTTTCATTCGAGACAAATCTAGCTTTAGCCAGACCATGGCTTAACAAGCTATCGGACTTGTTTCTTCATGATCGTAATAACACTACAGAATCAATGATTTTACAACTTTATTGCTAAGCTGTAATGGCTTTAAATGTTCCTCGTCCTCAATAATAATAGCTGCTAGGAATATCTGAATGAGCTTTGATCCATTTCGCTCTACACCCTAATTTATACCCCCTATTTCTGTACGTCTTAGATAGCCTTGACGTTAATTTCCATCCCAAATATGGAATAAATCTCTTTATTTCACAGGACTAAAGGAGGAGACATTATATTATTTAGCCTACCAACCATAGGTCAATTAACAGACAGAACTTGATGGGTATCTTGACAATGGTTATGATTTTACCAAAATATCACTGGGTTTTTTTATGTATAACTATCTATTCACGTTCATTAAGTACGTGTGATTTGACTCTATAGACAGAGTAAAGTACGGTCTACTCTTATATCGAACTCCAATTGCCATGGAATCTTTTACGTCCTCCAATGACAAGAGAACATTTCTCGGCCAACGCCTGGATCGAACCCGGACCTGCTCGTTAATGCTTCAACGACTTAAATCACCGAGCCCCCGTGGCCCCTATTTATAAATGACCTGTACAAAATACAAATGAAATGAAATGGGGTTTAACGTCCTACTGTCCCGCTCCAAACTGGGCTAATGAAGACGGGCATTCGCCATACAGTGTGCTATGAGGGAAATATTGCCCGGACAGCGGGGTTACGGCCTACTCTTATATCGAATACCAACTGTCATGGGATCTTGTACGTGCACGCCAATGTGAACACGGGACCTCAGTTTTCCGTACCATCCGAACGACTAGACGGCTGTCCTTGTCAGACACTCTGTCCTGCACCACTGACAAAGGGAAACCACACGCAACCTCCAGCGGCTTACCCACTTAGCCACCGCAGCTCCTAAAAGGTTTGTCTAAAGGTAGAAACAATACACTGATGGAAAGGTTTAACATCGTTAGTTTCCTATAACATAGAATATACATTAAATATACATGTACCTAATGGAAGACCTAACTCTGCCTGTACATTGATATCCATGAAGTTTACAATGTTCTTCCAGGTCAAAATATTGCTCAAAGCAAATTTGACATAATGTACATTGATATAAAGTACTTGCAATAGATTCGCCTTCTTTAACATTTTGTCCTATGATAGGAGATTCTTCATATTCCATATGTATTTTACAATGTTCTTCTAAATCAGGGTATAAATCAAATTTTCTTTCACACAAGTTACACTGAAAATAATTCAAGTTATCAATTTCCTCTTCTTTAACATGTTTCTTGTGAAGTTTTTCCAAATCAATTTTTTCTTCTTGAACATGTCTTTTGTGGAGTTTTACCGCATTATCAATATCGTCTTTTTTAACATGTCTTTTGCTGTGTTTTACAACATTAGCAATTTGCCCCTTTTTAACATGTCTTTTGCGGTGTTTTACAACATTAGCAATTTGCCCCGTTTTAACATGTCTTTTGCGGAGTTTTACAACATTAGCAATTTGCCCCGTTTTAACATGTCTTTTGCGGTGTTTTACGATACTGTCAATTTTTTCTCCTTCAACATGGATCTTCTTGTTCACGTGTAGTTCATAGTGAAGATCTAGATCACTGTACTCTTTAAAAATCTCATCACAAAAAACACAATGATGGAATGTTTTAACATTATTAGTTTCCTGAAATATACGAAGGTTATAATATCATTAGTTTCCTGAAATATGTAAGTTATAACATCATTAGTTTCCTGTAATATATAAAAGCTATAACATCATTAGTTTACTGTAATATACTATTCAAAAAAAGTAGGGGATATTTGATTTTTAAGTGTTATTAAAGTCACCTAATGAAAATGACGAGGAAACAAATGACAAAATGAAATGAAGTTCACATTCATCGATTTATTCCAAATGATCGTTAGACTAAGTAAGGCACAGACTGACCATTATAAGGGTAAAATGATACCCGGGGTCAAACAGCAAAGTTACCACAGCATCACAACCAAGTCAGTAACGGGTAAATCCTCCTCTGTTTGCCAAACAAGCATTGATCCGACGTGGCATACTCCTAATGAGACGTCTAAGGTCATTTTGGTTCAGATTGTCCCATTCCTGTTGCAACGCAGCAGCAAGTTCTTGGACATTGGCAGGACGTTGTTGACGTTGACGTAACCTCTGTCCAAGCATGTCCCAGACATGCTCGATGGGGGAGAGGTCGGGACTCAGTGCTGGCCAAGGTAATGTGGCGATGTTCTGTTGTTGGAGGTAACCTGTAACGATCCTGGCCCTGTGACATCTTGCGTTGTCATCCTGGAAGATGAAACGGCGGCCATGACGTCGTGCAAACGGCACAACATGGACTGCCAAGATGTTGTCCCGGTAGTACTGGCCTGTAACACGCCCTGCAACAACATGTAAAGCCGTTCTTCCAGCAACAGTGATGCCTCCCCACACCATAACAGAACCACCCCCAAATCGATCATGTCTGATGACGTTAACGTCTTGGAAGCGCTCGTTTCGACGACGCCACACCCTCCTACGTCTGTCCAAAAAATCAACAGTGAACCTTGACTCATCTGAAAACATCACATTGCTCCAGCGTCGATTATCCCAGTGTTGACGATCACTACACCAACGACGTCTTGCCTGAATGTGATGATCTCTCAAACAAGGGATCACGCGAGGACGTCGGGCGCGAAGGTGACCCCCTATGCAGTCGATTCCGAATCGTCTGGCCACTCACTCTCACACCAGTGTCTGTTTGAAGACGAGCGCTGATCTGATTTGCTGTGATGACACGATTTCTCAAGGCCAAGGTACGGATAAATCGATCCTGGGCTTGAGTTGTCGCCCTTGGTCGACCTGAGCGTGGTCTGTCCTGTACAGATTGTGTATCACGGTATCTGGACCATAGCCTGCTTATGACAGACTGAGAAACATTCATCGTCCGCGCCACAACCGCCTGTGTTGTGCCGATCTGTAGCATGCCAAGGGCACGTAACCTTTCATTTTGGGTAAGCCGACGCATATCAAAATTTGTTTTCTGGTCACTAAAACAATTAAACTGATGTTTCCACCCTGGAATTCAATGCCACAATGACTGTAACATTCAAAGTCAGAGTCGTGCAAATCTTGGGTTGGACCCCCATGATGATCCCAAGCATCACCTGCATTCCATGCGGTAGCTATTGGTGCGTTTGGGCGTCACATGTAACTGGAAATGTTTCTTCTGTTAGGTTCTATAGTGACTTTTTTCGTAGTCATTTGCATATTTTAGTATTATGCCCCCAAAATCAAATATCCCCTACTTTTTTTGAATAGTATATATAAAAGTTATAACATCATTATTTTTCTGTAATATATAAAAGCTTTAACATCATTAGTTTACTGTAATATATAAAAGCTATAACATCATTAGTTTCCTGTAATATATAAAAGCTATAACATCATTAGTTTACTGTAATATATAAAAGTTACATTATTAGCTTCCTGTAATGTATAAAAGTTATAACATCATTAGTTTCCTGTGATAAGTTATATTATTAGTATCCTGTAATATATAAAAGTTATAACATCATTAGTTTCCTGTGATAAGTTATATTATTAGTTTCCTGTAATATACTATTCAAAAAAAGTAGGGGATATTTGATTTTTAAGTGTTATTAAAGTCACCTAATGAAACTGACGAAGAAACAAATGACAAAATGAAATGAAGTTCACATTCATCGATTTATTCCAAATGATCGTTAGACTAAGTAAGGCACAGACTGACCATTATAAGGGTAAAATGATACCCGGGGTCAAACAGCAAAGTTACCACAGCATCACAACCAAGTCAGTAACGGGTAAATCCTCCTCTGTTTGCCAAACAAGCATTGATCCGACGTGGCATACTCCTAATGAAACGTCTAAGGTCATTTTGGTCCAGATTGTCCCATTCCTGTTACAACGCAGCAGCAAGTTCTTGGACATTGGCAGGACGTTGTTGACGTTGACGTAACCTCTGTCCAAGCATGTCCCAGACATGCTCGATGGGGGAGAGGTCGGGACTCAGTGCTGGCCAAGGTAATGTGGTGATGTTCTGTTGTTGGAGGTAACCTGTAACGATCCTGGCCCTGTGACATCTTGCGTTGTCATCCTGGAAGATGAAACGGCGGCCATGACGTCGTGCGAACGGCACAACATGGACTGCCAAGATGTTGTCCCGGTAGTACTGGCCTGTAACACGCCCTGCAACAACATGTAAAGCCGTTCTTCCAGCAACAGTGATGCCTCCCCACACCATAACAGAACCATCCCCAAATCGATCATGTCTGATGACGTTAACGTCTTGGAAGCGCTCGTTTCGACGACGCCACACCCTCTTACGTCTGTCCAAAAAATCAACAGTGAACCTTGACTCATCTGAAAACATCACATTGCTCCAGCGTCGATTATCCCAGTGTTGACGATCCCTACACCAACGACGTCTTGCCTGAATGTGATGATCTCTCAAACAAGGGATCACGCGAGGACGTCGGGCGCGAAGGTGACCCCTATGCAGTGTCTGTTTGAAGACGAGCGCTGATCTGATTTGCTGTGATGACACGATTTCTCAAGGCCAAGGTACGGATAAATCGATCCTGGGCTTGAGTTGTCGCCCTTGGTCGACCTGAGCGTGGTCTGTCCTGTACAGATTGTGTATCACGGTATCTGGACCATAGCCTGCTTATGACAGACTGAGAAACATTCATCGTCCGCGCCACAACCGCCTGTGTTGTGCCGATCTGTAGCATGCAAGGGCACGTAACCTTTCATTTTGGGTAAGCCGACGCATATCAAAATTTGTTTTCTGGTCACTAAAACAATTAAACTGATGTTTCCACCCTGGAATTCAATGCCACAATGACTGTAACATTCAAAGTCAGAGTCGTGCAAATCTTGGGTTGGACCCCCATGATGATCCCAAGCATCACCTGCATTCCATGCGGTAGCTATTGGTGCGTTTGGGCGTCACATGTAACTGGAAATGTTTCTTCTGTTAGGTTCTATAGTGACTTTTTTCGTAGTCATTTGCATATTTTAGTATTATGCCCCCAAAATCAAATATCCCCTACTTTTTTTGAATAGTATATATAAAAGTTATAACAATGTTATGTATTGAGAGAAAGTGGTTTTAACATCCACTCAAAACAAACTAGGTCATTTCTTGAGCAGTAGGAGCGAACTGGCTGAATGGTTCATTGAGTCATGATGTGGTTTTGAATCCCTGCTTGTACGTGAAAAGGAGTAAAGTCCCCTGTGGGTCATTCCATGTCAAGTGCTAAACCCTATTTCTCTCTCTTCAGGGATCACGTGGCTAAGTGGGTAAGACGCTGGCTCGCTAGCCTGGAGGTCGGGTGTTCGATCCCTGCATTGGCCGAGAAAGTTCATCCATATTTTCCAGCGTGGTTTCCCCTTGTCAGTGATGCAGGACGGAGGGCCTGACAAGAACAGCTGTATAGTCGTTCGGATGGGACTAAAAACCGAGGTCCCGTGTACACATTGGCATGCACATAAAAGATCCCTTGGCAGTTGGAATTCGATACAAGAGTAGGCTGTAGGGCAAAATTTCCCCTCATAGTACACTGTATGGCGTATGCCCGTCTTCATTAGCCCAGTTTAGGAGCAGAACAGTAGGACGTTAAACCCCATTTCATTTCATTTCTCTCTCTTCGATTCTTCTACAACCTCTGTCAGTAGGATGCACTATTCCTGTACAATAATGGAAACAAGACTTTATAGAGAGAGGGAAACTGGGTTTAATGCCCACTCGACAAAAACATATGGTTTAATTTTATTTCAATAATTCGATTCCCCGTAGGGGTCTTTAGCAGTGGGAGGAAACGGGAGGACCCGGAGAAAACCCACGAGGTTGGACAGGCGACCCTACTCCTTGTCACGTACAACTGGCCTTTCGAAACCACGCCAGTTGACTCAATGACAGGCATTATGATACAGCGCCCACGTGCTTACCAGGGGCATAAAAACATTTTTGAATCCACTAGATGGGCTACTAGTCTACTGTCAGACACTAGCCCGGCATTAATTTCCACTAGTCCGTAGTTCGACAAGGTACAAGCTTTGATCTTCAATATTTGGGCGCCTGTTTTGTTTTGTTACCTGCCAACCTATGTTTTTGAATAAAGATCGTAGACTTCATTGCCTAACAATTAAGGATGTAAACGGCTACTCAGTTTTTTGTAATATATCACGGGAAATTGACGTCTATAAATTCCCACTTGAAGTTTTGTTGTATACGGAATACGGTGCGTTATGTTATTGTAAGTACTTACTGCAAAGCATGAGACAGTCTCGACTGATTGACAAGTTAATTGTTTTACAGTATTTATTAACTTGGTCACTCTATAAACAGTCTCAAAAGGAAATCAGTTTGATGTGCTGATATAATATTAAAATAGACAGGATAGTAAAATTGTTTACATTATCACTCGAGCACGATGCTGTGTGTCGATAGGGTACCATTGAGCATGCCATGTGCAACGAACACGTGTAGTAAATTCTTTGGAAATACCGGACATGTTAAATAATCAAAATTATTTTGTATTTGAAAATCCAATGGCATGCTTTCAAATATTTATGTCAAAACCAATCTTATAAAATATTATGTAGGCTTTTTTTTTAAAAAAATCAACCTGATTTCAACTGGTGAATATGTGACTTGTCAAAGAGTGCAAGGTGGAGAAAAATGTCAAGAATGAATGAATCGACGAGGTACTAAAAATGTCCATACTGCCCTAAGTTTTATACAGAAAATCTATTGTTATAATAGAGTTTTGTGTGGAATTGGAGAAATAAATGTAGGATGTTTTTACAGTTTATTTATCTATATCTCTAGATTAATTTACAAACCAGTAAAAGGGCACTAGCCCAGGACTAGTACGGTTAAATAGATCACTAGCCTGTAAGTTAATTTTGGTAGGCCCGGGCGTCGGGGTATAGATTGTTACAAGCCTGCTTCAACTGGGCTTATGAAGACGGGCATAAGCCATACAATCTTCTATAAGGGAAGGATTGTCTGAAAAAATACTGATGAAATAAAATGGGGTTTAACGTCCTACTTTTCTGCTTTGACTGGGCTAACGATGATGGGCATATGTCATACAGTGTGCCATGAGGGCAATTTTGCCCGGACAGCAGCGCAAAAGCCTACTCTTATATCAAATTCCAACTGCCAAGGGATCTTTTATGTGTGCACCAATGTGTACACAGGACCTCAGTCTTTTGTTCCCATCCTGCACCACTCACAAGGCGAAACCACGTCGGAAACAGTAGGGTGGCCCATGTACTCTACAGAAATAAAGTCCACCGCTGATAGTTCGAGACTACCACTGAAGCGTGCACATTCGCCGTGCCGAGACCAACTTTCTGACAGTATGATACTATAAATAACCATGGCACGTGCAATTCTCTACAAATCTATCAACTATTACAGCCGTAAAAAATTTATTGTTGACGATTTTGAATAGCAGTGAAATTAAGCTTCTTGGTTATTACAGCAGATTTAGAAATTACGTTCGTTTCATTTTTTAAATCGCTTTATCATTAACTGTACCGTTAAGAGCGGCATCTTTTGGTTTAGTACAAATAATATCTCTGAATCACTCGGGTTAGACAGGAACATGATACTAGCAGTAGTTTCATTTTACTTTTACAAGGTTCTTAAAACGATTGTTGAGCTACCTAACGTGCTTATTTCTAAATTCAATTTCTTGTTCTAGCTTTCTGTTATGTTTCGTAAAAAAGTAGTCTTGATTATCCCGACCTGTCAATCAGACGTAGAATGGTCAATAGACTGGTTAAGCGAGACTAATTTCAAAACAAGGGCACGTAACCTATCTTTTACTCAAAAGTGTCTGGATGTTATGGACGACACTTGGAACCAGTTTTCAGTCTATTATTTATAGATGATTAATGGTCATAGCTTATTAAGTACAACATGATCGTTTATTTAGTGACTATAATTGTGTGAAACTGATTTAAGGCTTGGCATATATATAAATATTGTGGCGTAATTGTCGAGATATATGGAGATATATGGAGATATTTATTTATGGTGGGTCACCCTAGAAACAGCTGATGAAATTTCTCAGCCAAAAAAAAAAATATACAACAAAAAAAAAACATGAACTGCTTTTCTTTTTTTGTAGATAAGCTTACATGTAGATATCAAACATACCAGTTGATCTCTTGAAGCAGGATGGGGTTGATCCGGTGATCCCGGAAGGGGTTCATCTCGTGATCCAGGAAAGTGTTCATCTATTGATCCAGGAAAGGGTTCATCTATTGATCCCGGAAGGGGTTCATCTCGTGATCCAGGAAAGCGTCCATCTTGTGATCCAGGAAGAGGTTGATCTTGTGATCCAGGAAGGGGTTCATTTGTTGAATCAGGAAGGGGTTCATTTGTTGAATCAGGAAGGGGCTTATCTGCAATGCTATCACGCCATTTACGCCAATGTTGTTGTAAATTTTTAATCCCTTTGCTCCTTTTTCTTCTAGGCATTGTGATAGTCTTTCCTGATCCAACTTGTTCAGTTTGTTTTATCTAAAATAGAGAAAAAAATATTTCTAAATGTTTGAAATGAAATCAAGATTAATGTCCTACTGTTCTGTTCCGACTGGGCTAATTAAAATGGGCATATGTCATACGGTGTGCTATGTAGGAAATTATGTCCGGACAGCGGCCTACTCTGATTTGGAATCAGACTGACAAGTGTCCCATTCTGCACCAGTGACTAGGGGGAACCCTGTGGAAAATCCATGTTAACTGTCTTGGCCAGTGCAAATCGACTGACCTGTCCAATATCTGCTACTGCACCACACAACAACTGTACATATCAGATCGAGTGAATGGATCCAGGAGGTCGGCCGTAAAAGTCCTATGCTGGGTTAATAAAGACGGGCATACGCCATACAGTGTGCTATGAGGGAAATTTTGCCCGGGCAGCGGCACTATCGCCTACTTCCAACTGCCAAGGGATCTTTTACGTGCATTCCAATGTATACACAAGACCTCAGTTTTTCGTCCCATCCACATGACTAGACAGCTGTCCTTGTCAGGCCCTCCGTCCTGCATCACTGACAAGGGGGAACCACGCTGGAAAATCTGGATGAACTTTCTCGGCCAATGCAGGGATCGAACACCCGACCTCCAGGCCAATGAGCCAGAGTCTTACCCACTTAGCCACGTGATCCCTGAAAGTCCAGAGAGAGAGAGAGAGAGAGAGAGAGAGGAGAGAGAGAGAGACAGAGAGAGAAATGGGGTTTAACATCCACTCGACACAAACTAGGTCATTTCGGGACAAACATATGCTTAATTTTTTTCAATAATTCGCATGCACGTAGGAGTCTTTAGCAGTGGGAGGAAATCAGAGGATCCGGAGAAAACCCACAAGGTTTGACAGGTGACCCTACTCCTTGTCACGTACAACTGGGGACTCAAAACCACGCCAGTTGACTCAATGACAGACCTTATGATACAGCACGCACACGCTAACCATTCAGCGATCGAACCCCCCAATGCAACGAAACATATGCCGACAGCAGCTAAATCGTCCGGGCAGTCAACTAGATTAAGAGTAACAACTCATTAAGTAATTATCAGAAAATCACTAGAATTTGTTTGGTTTGTATAAAGTTCTGCCCCATGGTAACGTTTAGTATTTAATATCATGGATTTAGCTGTTCAAGTTATCAAAATTCATTGAAAATCAATATACTTGTTCATCTCAAGACCTTAAACTGAAGCCAATCCGATGATAACTTTAGCCTCTAGAAAGTCACAAGATTTTTCAAAGTGATCAAGGGTCATAACTTTGGCAGTAATTATCAGAAATTGTTGAAAATCAATAGGATTCTTCGTCTCATGACCTCAAACACTGTATAAATTTGAAGTCAATCGGATATCATCTTTAGCTTCTTGAGCATCCGGGGATCACATGGCTAAGTGGGTAAGACGCTGGCTCGCTATCCTGGAGGTCGGGTGATCGATCCCTGCATAGGCCGAGAAAGTTCATCCAGATTTTCCAGCGTGGACTGGTTTCCCCTTGTCATTGATGCCGGACGGAGGGCCTGACAAGGACAGCTGTCTAGTCATTCGGATGGGACGAAAAACCGAGGTCCCGTGTACACATTGGCATGCACGTAAAAGATCCCTTGGCAGTTGGAATTTGATATAAGAGTAGGCCGTAGTGCCACTGCCCGGCAAAATTTCCCTCATAGCTCACTGTATGGCGTATGCCCGTCTTCATTAGCCCAGTTTAGGAGCAGAACAGTAGGACGTCACACCCTATTTCATTTCATTTCATTTCTAGAGCATCCACAAGATATTTTGAAGTGTCCAAGGGCCATAACTCTGGCAGTAATTATCAGAAATTGCTGAAAATCAATAGGATTCTTCGTCTCATGACCTTAAACACTGTGTATAAATTTAATGTCAATCAGATTTTCACTTTGGCCTCTAGAGTGTCCACAAGCAATTGTGGGCGCCGGACCGACGAATGGACGGACGGGGGTGACACAATTGAATATATGACCACATTTCAATGTAGGCGTATAAAAAAGAAACTAAAAATAAGGGGGGATATTTCCCAAAAGTTATATAAAGCCAGTACGAGTCATGATCGACTATATGCTACATGAAATATGTAGGCTCATTTAAGGTAACAGCTCTTTATAAATCCTATTTCGTTTCATGTTTTTTAATAGTTCAAAATTTTGTTTTCTTTTCTTTACTACACTGGAAGAGTTGTTATGTAACAGGCGTTCTAGTTGATGTGAGGAATTAGCTAATGAAATGGTCTGTTACAGCGAGTTCTTGGCGTGATCTTCACAGAACTGTGGGTAAACCCCTAGAAACGTTAAAGCTGATTGATTAATCAATGTCTTTCATAGGGTCGAAAGTCGCTTGTATGACACCTGACATGACCTCCCAGTACAACTGGTCAGATCTTCATGTAGTGACAGCCGATTCCTCTGCCCCCTCCCCAAAAAACCCATAAGCGCATGTGAATTATTGAAATATAATTGAACCAAGTGTTAGTCCCAAAATGAACAATTATGTGAAATTTACAAAGAGCCAAGTTAAATCTAAAAGGCGTAT